TCTCGAGTAACAAACTTGAATACCTCTTAGCTTCTCATAACTCGTGATTTTCAGCCGTTTATCGTAAAAAATTAATGCAAATTGCGTGTGTGTATTGTTTCGTTCACCCCCATTTCTTTGCCGGGTGGTGATTCGGTGCCGTCAGAATTAAGTCCAAATTTATTTAGATTAGATTGGAATAGATTAGATTATCCCATCTTACACTGCTTTTTTCGCCATTATGAGTCCAAGTGTTAAGCTACATCATTGAGACCATTCTTGCTGTCAGTGATCTGCAAGCTTAGCGCCAAGACGCATAATCGCTCCGGCAAGCCTGGTGCGTTCCAGGCTAGGTTTCGTTTACTGAAACTTTAATACAAGTAGAATTCTTGTCTACGGTTCTTACCGATCGTAATAACCTCAAAGATAATACGCTTATGTTGTTGGAATGGTTAATGCAAACCGAAGACACATAACTCTTGTAGAAGCTCCTCTCAATACCAGTTGTCTGAGAGGTCCTGATAAATTATACGACGTGGAATTTTTCTTAGGAACTATTCGAATGCATTTCATACACAAAATTCAACATTTATGATTCCCCACAAATAGTAAAGAGATTTGTTAAATTATATTTTTTTATCCGTAATATGATAGTAAAGTCAAATAGTATTTTGTTAGATCTAAGAAATTTTTGTCCTCAGCTGATGCGCGAGCGTAAAGAAGGAGGAGTCGAATTTTCATTATTTACAGTTTAGCTCGTTTAAAAAAAATTACAGAAATGGACCAGAGGCGAGATCGTTACGAGAGGATCGTGAAATTGTCGCGTGATTTGATCATTGAATGCAAGCGAATCATCTTTCAACTTCATCGCTTCCCCACTGCAAAAACACCTGAAGAAAAAGGTATGCGGTTTTTTGTGGAAGTTTTTATTGCAGGGATGCAGCACTCAGCTGACTGGAGCTTTAAATTTTTCGCATTTTTGTTTTTTTCTTTTTTTGTATTTTGGGGATTTAATACATAATCTCGCAGCGATCGATAACCATGGTATAAACTTTTGAATTTCACCGGATCTGCAGCTGTACCAAAAAATCGCTTGGACTAGCAGCGTGGATATTCCTTATTAGTAATGTTACTAGGATGTTTCCACACGCCAAGCACATCTGCCCCAGGCCCTTCGATTCTGAGCTGCATGCCTCCAGTTAATACCCATCGGATTTTGGATCATATATGTCCAGGCCGAAAAAAATTCTCATTAAAAACGCAATTTTCTTGCCGATCCTCTTTGCACATCAGTATTCATCTTATACATTCGAAAATCATCTTTTTGGCTTTAGAAAAAATGAATTGGGTGAGAGCATGCAGTATTTTTTGTTTGATATTGTGTAATCTTTCATAGTGGACGGTTGTTTGTTGAGTTCTGCAGCATACTCAAATTCTGTGTAGTTTTCCAAAAAAAAAAAAACGATTTGGGGCTACTACATTTTGCAGTTTTTCATTGCTGCAAAGCAATTTTTTTTGTCTTGAAATATTGCATCGAATAACAGGCAGAATTGCTAGACTTCGTGTTTTTTTTTTTTTTTTTAAGAGGAGGGAAAGTTTATTTCCTTTTTCCGTGGAGTTTTTTTTTTTTTTCATTCCGTCCACACTATGTCAGATCTTCACACAGCTAATAAGTGTGCTTGAAATGCTACAGTTGGTACATCTCTTAACACCGGTGGCTGAATGATTTTTTTTAAAAAGTTTTTGTCGGAGTTATTGCTGTACAGTCTTTTCGTGCTGCTGTTAACTTTTTTTATTATCTATTTTAATTACGGGGAGCAATTTCTATTGCAGAAAATTTGCTGTCTGAAGTTGGCGGCCGTTTGGATGATGTGCGTAATAAAATAATACATGGAATAGCAGTGGAACTGCGTGGCCAGGACCACTATTACTATGCCAAATCCTACGTTTGG